ATAATGTCTAATAAAACTTAATATGACATACAAAATTGTGTCGTGTAAAAATAATAAGACATGTGATGGGAATCCTATGTTCACATCCCTGACCAAATACGTGTATTTTGTTTGTTCTATATTTTCTACTGTCAAATCCACAGCTGTTTTCTACGGAAGCGTATTCCAGCCACGTTGAATTTTATTTTAACTCGAAATTTCGAGTTAGTAATCCGAAATTTTGAAATGGTAATCCGAAATTTTGATATATTTACCCGAAATTTCGAGATAGTAACTCGAAATTTCGAGGTAGTAATCCGAAATTTTCGATTTTTTATCTCGAAATGTCAAGATAAAATAAAACACAACATGGCCGGAATACGTTTCCGTAGTTTTCTACCTGAATATGACTTATTACTTTTTAATCGTCTGAGGATACTGTATATTTCTGAGCAAGAAACTTTTTTAATTCTGAATTAATCTTTGTCATTTTTTGTAAGACACACAATAAATGATACCTTAAGAAATATTTTTTCGAATTTAGATAAGCATATGATGAATTCACAAATACACATTATTGTATGTAAAGGAGAAAATTATGAGATCAGTTCCTCGCGGTCTTCATCAGACGATAAAGGGATGATGTCACGATACATTTATATAATAAAAGGATATGGGGACATCTGAATGCAGGGTGATCAGAGCTGTAGAATGTAACCTGAATAAAGTGCTCCTGTCTTAATCAGATCACTGCCGATACCGTCCTTGATGTTTGGTCCTCGTATAATTTTTTTCTTAAATTCTGGCAAAACTAATCTACAATATGTTTGATCTAGTTGGCAACATATTTAGAAAATTATATCTGAAATAGCCAAGACATTTCAAGAAAAAATATGGATTCTGGTCAAGTTGTATTAGATCATAAGGAGCCATATGAGTAATCAAGCTGTGATTTTAAACCTCATCCTCAGACGGTCGAAAGGCATTCACTAGACCGCAAATATCTCATTGTACATGTTCACATACTGAACAGAGTTTGCAACAATTTTAAAGAAAAAAACATTGAAGAGAACGTATTTTTGAGTAGCAGGTGTATTGATAAGGAATTCTTATATCTTGTTTTCGTTGAATCTAATATATATGTATACATCACAGGGGAAAAAATCTATAGAGCCTTACACATTGTATTTTAAAGATCAAGTTCCCCCAGCCCCTATAGTCTCGAAACTTCTATTATTAGGAAAGGAGCTTGATAAATATAGCATTACAATAATGGCGATACTCTCAACCCTTACTTGTTTGAACTTCTGTAAACTTGTGTTTTGTATAATCTGTACATGTAAAATTTGAATTGTCTGAATTGCTATCAATATAGGGAATGACTCATAATACATTTGATGGCTTTTATATCTACATTTCTAATCTATGTCAATAGATTTGTATTACTATGATTGTATTACATGTATTACTGATGTTATACAGCTTGTGACATGAAAACTGCATTTCTATTTCATTCAAACCTTTAACCATTTTGTGATGAAGTATTAATTGAAATGTTCATAAGTATACAAAATGATGCTTATATTAACATTTTTTTCTAATTGTAAACTTCAGGTATCAACAAAGGACTGCTGTAGCCCAGACAAAGTGTGATGATACTTGAACATCCAAGTCAAACGAATTCTTCACTTATCTTTCCTCTTCATCATTTATTTGTATGGAGGAGTATGCAAAAATTAAATGATTTCAGTTAAATTGTGTGTTGTTGTTTTTAACTTCTGCTAAGTGCTACAATTTAAACGCTTCAATCTGGTGCAAGTAACAAGTTTTGGAAACATCATCATGGCTTTAGCAATTATGTTATTACTCTAAAAGACAAGATGTTCTGTTAATAACGTAGACATATGTTAGCATTTTGATAAGATACTTATACAAAATATATATAAAATACTACAATAAGCACTGTGTGAGTATTGTTGTGTCTAGTTTTGAGTAATATGTGTTAAAAAAAACATTTTACTAGTGTCTGTTATTATCCCTTGCACCTTTTTGTATTTTCACAGAAACGAATTCCCACAATTGTAAATGTTTAGACATTCAAATAACCTAACCAAGCTTAAACTTGTTGGCCATCATGACAACTAAAACACATACATTTGAAAAATACAATTACAGCTATAACTATTACGAGAGAAATAATTAAAAACTTGTGAAACAACTTAAATAAGAAATTTTGAAAATTATTCTGGTTTTTTTTTTTCAAACTGATTTATCTACCCTGACATCTGAAAATAAATATTCCATAATGCTTGTAATTGCATTAAGAACACTTTTATAATAAATCAGAACTTACTTAGTGTGAATAAGATTACTTTTCATTAATGTTTCACGAGTAAAATTGTTTATAAACACAAATTAACGTTTTTCAAAAAAATCAAGTTTGGTTGCCATAGCAACTTTTAAATGCAAAAAGAAATTTATTTGCTCTGAAATTTTAACAATGAAGCTTTTTCAGATTTCTATTATATATTCTAGTGGGTGACTAAATAATTGATTTTGTTATTCAATCCTTTTCTTATATAATGAAATTTAATAATTTTAACAACGTGTTATACCTGAAAAACGATTTGGTAACCATGGCAACATCCGTGAATGAGTAAATTTCTGTCATGAACACATGATTAGGTTCCTTCTGTAGTAGTTCACAATACTATTAAGTTTGGAAATATTTTTTACTTTCTCTTCCATCATCGAAAACATTTGCTAACGATAGGAAATTAATATTTTTTTCAAATATTCGAAATTCTGGTTGCTATGGTAACATCGTTATTGGTAAAAAGTAACTTGTATTCCCATAATTCTAAATATATAGAGATTGCTTTATTGGAAAAGGGTGAAAATTCATGTTGAAGCAAAATGACAGATTTTCTTCGGGTTCATTAAAAATTCCTGGGAGTTAAGAAAAACGGAACTCGGGCTAGGATACCTAGTTCCTTATAAGATCAATTCCTTCATTAAAAGCTATGGTGGTCTTTGTCTGAAAGGTTGTGGGGTCGATCTCTACACTGGATCTAGATAAGATCATGCGTACTGGACTTTTTGTTTCGTTAACATTACGGTTTTCTAACGCGGAAATAGAGTCTGGTTTCCAGTTCCGTCTATGGTAAAACGGAACTAGAATCTGGTTCCCAGTTTCGTTTTTCTTAAACTGAACAAAAGTCTGGTTCCTGGTTCAGTCTTTGTTAATGGAACTAGAGTCTTGTTACTGCTTAGCTCCGTATTTGATTAACGGATCTAGGAACTTACTTCATACAGACAGGACCGTTAAAGAATGAATTACTCTTATTTTGATAACAGACAGGATCATTATCAGTTCATTCTTATTTTATATACAAACAGGATCATTATCCCTTAATTCTTATTTTATATACAAACAGGATCATTATCCCTTAATTCTTATTTTATATACAGACAGGATCGTTATCCCTTAATTCTTATTTTATATACAGACAGGATCGTTATCCCTTAATTCTTATTTTATATACAGACAGGATCTTTATCCCTTAATTCTTATTTTATATACAGACAGGATCGTTATTTTATATATCCCTTAATTCTTATTTTATATACAGACAGGATCATTATCCCTTAATTCTTATTTTATATACAGACAGGATCATTATCCCTTAATTCTTATTTTATATATCCCTTAATTCTTATTTTATATACAGACAGGATCATTATCCCTTAATTCCTATTTTATATACAGACAGGATCATTATCCCTTAATTCTTATTTTATATACAGACAGGATCGTTATCCCTTAATTCTTATTTTATATACAGACAGGATCGTTATCCCTTAATTCTTATTTTATATACAGACAGGATCGTTATCCCTTAATTCTTATTTTATATACAGACAGGATCATTATCCCTTAATTCTTATTTTATATTTATATACAGACAGGATCATTATCCCTTAATTCTTATTTTATATACAGACAGGATCATTATCCCTTAATTCTTATTTTATATACATACAGGATCATTATCCCTTAATTCTTATTTTATATACAGACAGGATCATTATCCCTTAATTCTTATTTTATATACAGACAGGATCATTATCCCTTAATTCTTATTTTATATACAGACAGGATCATTATCCCTTAATTCTTATTTTATATACAGACAGGATCATTATCCCTTAATTCTTATTTTATATACAGACAGGATCATTATCCCTTAATTCTTATTTTATATACAGACAGGATCATTATCCCTTAATTCTTATTTTATATACAGACAGGATCGTTATCAGTTCATTCTTATTTTATATACAGACAGGATCATTATCCCTTAATTCTTATTTTATATACAGACAGGATCATTATCCCTTAATTCTTATTTTATATACAGACAGGATCATTATCCCTTAATTCTTATTTTATATACAGACAGGATCGTTATCCCTTAATTCTTATTTTATATACAGACAGGATCATTATCAGTTACTTCTTATTTTATATACAGACAGGATCGTTATATTGTAGAAGTCTAGCCCTCCTCCTCTGTGTCAAAAGGTCGAGACCATGGTGTGACAGTCGTCATGTATTAAACGGGGTCTATGATCTTCTTCCGGGAACCTGGCACATCCTTAAATGACCCTAGCTGTTACATGTAATAGGGTGAAAAGCAACAATAAAAAAAACAATTGACTCTGTTGTCGATATATTGCTTTACATTGACTCTTCTTGCTTGCAATATTTATTTTTTTGTTCTTTAAAAATCCTTATATGTCAAAGGAATATATATCTATTTTAAAACTTAATTCCTTAAGACAACCAATAAGTGAAGTTGAGTATTCTCTGTCTTTATCTCGTCTATTACCTATTCCACCTGTTCCCAATAGCCTGGTAACCTCTCCTTGATCCTGATAAGATTAGATTCCACAGCGTTACTTGCTGTCGAACAAAATACAGGTTTGGTAGTTTTCGTTGACCGGAACGACAACTAGATATGCATTTCACATATGTTTACACAATATGTATAGCTGCCAGCTGTGTTCATGCCAAAATGTCGTGTGACGACAGCGCATGCGTACTTCCTGCATGTCGCTGTTTCTCAGACAGGAGCATTCCGGGATACCTCTCTCCGTTCCAAACGCCTCAAATCGTGACCATAACGTTAGAAAATAATATCAGTTCCGTTATAAAGCCTTTATATGATTCGTTGCTAAACTTTCGGAATCCAAACAATTGTTCTATACGGGTTTCTTTTTACATAGATGACAGTGGAACCGACTACAGCATTGTGACCAACTATGCGAGTCAAGGGCACGAGATAGGGATACAGTCAATAAATGGAACGCCGCCCAACTCCTCTGCTGATTGGATACACATGATCAAATGTAAGTCTTTCGAAAATGTCTTTTGTAAATCCTTTTTGTAACGAAAGAGATTTCGGTCGTGATGTTTACTCATGCGTGAAGCAGGATATAGATAAAGGTGGAAACACTTATATTTATATTCCTCCATATTTGCGCCTGGCGCTTCGGCTTGCGCTTCAGTATATGGACTTGCGGTTACTTTTATTGTATGTAAATGCGCGACTTTTACTTACATTCCAATTTTTCATAAATATGATATAATATAAGACATGTAGGTGTAAATATGATACATATATTTTGCAAAGGTACGTCAGATCCGGTAAAATAAGGAAGACCAATTGAACTGGTACTGTTGTAACGATGTGTATCAGAAATTTTTTTCAAATCTTTATACAAATTCGTAATAAGCTAATGTAAATATAAACATTGTTATTTATTTTCTTTACCTGCATTGAAGTATGATGTGGATTTATTTTGGGGAATCTGGTTTTTTTTGTGTTGTTTGTTTTGGTTTTTTTTTTTTTTTTGTTTTTTTTTTTTTTTTTTTTTTTTTTTTTTTTTTTTTTTTTTTTTGTTTTTTTTTTTTTTTTTTTTGTTTGTTTTTTTGTTTTTTTTTTTTTTTTTTTTGTTTTTTTCTTGTTTTTGTTTTTGTTTTTTTGGTTTTTTTGTGCGGTAACGCGCTTAATACCTTGCTAATGGTATTACTAGTGTAGGCGTCATGCAAAAGGAAGGACTCGTTCCTTATGTATTATTGAAATGTTGACCAACCCATCGTAATGGTTTAAATATTGATATCCACTTACCATTCTGTACAAGGAAACGTACGTCCGGGTTGTAGTCGCTTTCGTTAAAAATATCGGTTGTCGGCCTTTGTTACAGTAGTCCTAAAATGTATTGGCCTCATAATGTGATTCCCCGTGTGAGGAGATAAAATCCCGGGTATATATTAGATGTATACAATCTCTATGAAAGGATGTAATTATATGACCTTTCTATCTCATTTAATGCAGCTGTATATTTGTTTTTTCACAGACATGAAGACAAGACTTGGTAGAGACGGTATTCCTTCATCCTATGGTGTGCGAGCGCCTCACCTCTCTTTCGGCGGGACAAATGAATATATCGGTAAGATGAAAAAAGCACAGGCATTACATGTACACCAAATAATGTATTTCCCTCTGTTGTTTACATTAGTCAATATCCATTATTGAAGAAAAGTAATTTCAAAATCTTAGTGACCCAATTTCTCACTTGATAACATATATTGATAGTATCGAACTCTCTTCACCAACAGTCAGAAAAGTTTGTGTTCAATATTGTAGTAAAGTGAAATAACGTCATCAGTGTTTACTTCCCAGGAATACAGACGAACGATATGATGTACGACTCAAGCTGTGTGACGTCAGAGTTTGTCTCTCCAGGAACGTTGAAATGGCCATTTACGTACGACTATGATTACGGAATGTTTAAGTGCGATATCGGTACGAGTGTGGACAGGCCATTTCCGGGTTAGTTTCTGTCTACAACTAATGTATAATTTCGTTACGAGTGTGGACAGGGCTTTTCCGGGTCAGTATCTGTCTCCATCTAATGTATGATATCGTTACGAGTGTGGACAGGGCATTTCCGGGTCAGTATCTGTCTACAACTAATGTATGATATCGGTACGAGTGTGGACAGGGCATTTCCGGTTTAGTATCTGTCTACAACTTATGTATAATATCGTTATGAGTATGGACAGGGCATTTCCGGGTAAGTATCTGTCTACAACTTATATATAATATCGTTATGAGTGTGGACAGGGCATTTCCGGGTTAGTTTCTGTCTACATCTAATGTATAATTTCGTTACGAGTGTGGACAGGCCATTTCCGGGTCAGTTTCTGTCTACATCTAATGTATAATTTCGTTACGAGTGTGGACAGGCCATTTCCGGGTCAGTATCTGTCTACAACTAATGTATGATATCGTTACGAGTGTGGACAGGGCATTTCCGGGTAAGTATCTGTCTACAACTAATGTATGATATCGTTACGAGTGTGGACAGGGCATTTCCTGGTTAGTATCTTTCTACATCTAATGTATGATATCGTTACGAGTGTGGACAGGACATTTCCGGGTTAGTATCTGTCTACAACTAATCATCCTTACGAGTGTGGACAGGGCATTTCCGGGTTAGTATCTGTCTACAACTAATGTATGATATCGTTACGAGTGTGGACAGGGCATTTCCGGGTAAGTATCTGTCTACAACTAATCATCCTTACGAGTGTGGACAGGGCATTTCCGGTTTAGTATCTGTCTATAACTTATGTATGATATCGGTACTTGTGTGGACAGGGCATTTCCTAGTTAGTATCTGTCTACAACTTATGTATGATATCGTTACGAGTGTGGACAGGGCATTTCCCAGTTAGTATCTGTCTACAACTTATATATGATATCGTTACGATTGTGGACAGGGCATTTCCGGTGTAGTATCTGTCTACAACTAATCATCCTTACGAGTGTGGACAGGGCATTTCCTGGTTAGTATCTGTCTACAACTAATGTATGATATCGTTACGAGTGTGGACAGGGCATTTCCGGTGTAGTATCTGTCTACAACTAATCATCCTTACGAGTGTGGACAGGGCATTTCCTGGTTAGTATCTGTCTACAACTAATGTATGATATCGTTACGAGTGTGGACAGGGCATTTCCGGGTTAGTATCTGTCTACAACTAATGTATGATATCGTTACGAGTGTGGACAGGGCATTTCCTAGTTAGTATCTGTCTACAACTTATGTATGATATCGTTACGATTGTGGACAGGGCATTTCCGGTGTAGTATCTGTCTACAACTAATCATCCTTACGAGTGTGGACAGGGCATTTCCGGGTTAGTATCTGTCTACAACTAATGCATGATATCGTTACGAGTGTGGACAGGGCATTTACTGGTAAGTATCAGACTACAACTAATCGGACTTACGAGTGTGGACAGGGCATTTCCGGGTTAGTATCTGTCTACAACTAATGCATGATATCGTTACGAGTGTGTACAGGGCATTTCTGGGTAAGTATCTGTCTACAACTAATGTATGATATCGTTACGAGTGTGGACAGGGCATTTCCGGGTTAGTATCTGTCTACAACTAATGTATGATATCGTTACGAGTGTGGACAGGGCATTTCCCAGTTAGTATCTGTCTACAACTTATATATGATATCGTTACGAGTGTGGACAGGGCATTTCCCAGTTAGTATCTGTCTACAACTTATATATGATATCGTTACGATTGTGGACAGGGCATTTCCGGTGTAGTATCTGTCTACAACTAATCATCCTTACGAGTGTGGACAGGGCATTTCCTGGTTAGTATCTGTCTACAACTAATGTATGATATCGTTACGAGTGTGGACAGGGCATTTCCTGGTAAGTATCTGTCTACAACTTATGTATGATATCGGTACTTGTGTGGACAGGGTATTTCCTGGTTAGTATCTGTCTACAACTAATGTATGATATCGTTACGAGTGTGGACAGGGCATTTCCTGGTAAGTATCTGTCTACAACTAATGTATGATATCGTTACTTGTGTGGACAGGGCTTTCCAGCTCTGCATCAGAACTTTTTGCATGAATTATCACCACAAATTACAGATTTCAAGTTTGTAAATTCCGACGTAGTGACAACATTTTCAGATTTTGTAGACCTGAAAAAGAAATATTTCAGCTGGTTTCTTGATCTTGGGAAAACTGACTATTTGGGTGAAATTTGCAAAAAGTAAAGCCGAGAGACGACCTCTTTTTCAATCATGAAAAGTATCCTCTAAAATGTCTCTAGCAAAACTTAAAGTCTTGAAAAAAAATTAATACTAGAAGGCTAAAGGTTTATATAACTTTGGAACATTTTTATTGTATGGTTGCAATGTAGTTTAAAGCTCGTTTAATTAAATGAAAATCTAGTATTTTCACATTCTTCAATATCCAAGTATCCAAGTATCATACCCTTACTTTGTAATGAAAGACGATTGTAATGAAAGACGAAAAATTTATTTAAAAAAAGATTGACGCGAAAATAGCAGAGAATGTCTGTTATTCAGAAAAAAGTAAGGATAATATATGGTAATGAATTATTTCCTGTTGCACACATTCTGAGGCCTGTACCGGAAACAGTAGTGCATCAATATATTGACTTTTTGATTGTAATCTATTTTCAAAAATCAAACCTTTTAAAGCGTCATTACCAGAAAAGTTTAATATTGGATTGTTTTAGTTCTAACAGATGAGTACGTCCTTAAGGATTACTCTTAACAAATCGCAAAGACTGTTATAGTTTGATTATTTCTTTCACCGCCGCATTGGCCAATCAATCACAATGTTACAAACTACGTTGGTTTTCTATGTAATGTGGTGATTACATACAAATATTGGCCAATGAGAATGCTTGTTCAATAGAAGCTTGCTGGAGCTGACCGTGTCGAACAATGACAAAGTTTATTAACGGTAATTCCATTTCAGGTCGCTGGCAGGTGATGCTGGCTGCCTACAGATATAAAGGTGTGGAATGTGCTGTACCGGACTCTTGCGAGAATGTCAAAACAGAAGCTGAAGCATTTGACATCATTTACGAAGCGTAAGTAGGAGGGCGGGGGGGGGGGGGGGATGTTATGGCGATGATGATCAGTCTAAACATTTTCATCATCCATTTAATATTACGTATATGTTATTGTACGAAAGCTGAAGTATAACCAGAATTACATTATAGGATCTTGGATGGGTAAGATGATATGAAACAAGGGAGGATTTGATTTTTGTGAGGCTTTTCGAGATGAGTTTTATAAAATGCCATATGATATAAAATGAAAACAAATACATTTTTGTCTCATAACTCGGAAAAGTAGCATTTTAAAAAGTTTTAAAGTAAAATATGAAGGACAAAATCAAACGGGGCAGTAATTTTGTTCAATCCATGACGTACATGTATTGCCATTGTCAATGTGATAACAAGGCTGACGAGGGTCTGTCTATAGGAGGAGGAGGAGGAGGAGGAGGAGGAGGAGGAGGAGGACTTTTATTTATATATGAATATGATAATGATAATGATGTCTTTTTATATGGTTGATAACGTATGTATGATAAGGATGAAGGATGAAGGAGGTGGTGTCAGTTTAAATGTATGATGATGATGATGAGGAGGAGGACGATGATGATAATGTATATTTATATACATATGATGACAATTATGGTTGATGGTAGATTATCATGATGATTAGATGATCATGATGATGGGAGATGGTGTTGTTATATAATAGTATATAATATTAAAATGATGATGATGAGGAGGACGACGACGACGATGATGATGAAGAAGATGATGCACTGATGATGCATTGTTATGCGCTTGTGTGTTTTTGCTCTGGGAAAATATCCTACGATAAAATTAGTATTAAACAGTTTCAATAAAACAATGAAATTAAGAAATAAGAAATAAAAACAAAATATAAACAAAAAATAAAATAATTCGCTATATGCAATAAAATACACATTAAGTCAATACCAGCAGACTTCCCTTTAGAGAGACTTTGTTAGCTACAAATAATGCATGGATACTAAATTCGTCATCAATCTCGGGGTAAACACTCATTTTTATCAATAAATGTATCTTCATGCACTGACAATCAGTCGAATTAAATAATCGAACATAATCTGGATTTTTTTCGATTGGCCAACAATTTATCTTTGAACAAATGTTTACTGGTGAATTAGTGTACCTTCTTATACAAACATTGCCTTCTCTCATCCACTGTCTATCCGTTATCCAAGTTAGACAAACCAGCATCCCCTCTTTCAAACCTTATCAACATCAAACGTCAAAACATATAATGACTTAAGATAAATATTTCTGGCTTTCAAATTAACTTTGGTTGCGCAGCATAACTTTTTTGAACGTTCTAAAGAATGATTAGTTTTTTCCACGTGTTCCCATTTTCCAAACCAACTAAGAAAGAAATGAATTTGTGTTTCATCGAGGAACGCGTCAGAGGTCAAGGTTGACACTGAGAAGCGTTTTCCATGTAACGTGATAGTATTACAATTCTTTTCAATGTTCTTAGAACCTTGAATAACTTCCACGATACTTTGAATGCTAGTTGCTGACGAAATACTTGTACTAACAATATGACTCTACTGAAGACAGATGGCCTGTATCAGTCTTGGCTCGAAAAACCAATGATCTTGGGTCCTGAATCCTTCGACCGTATTCCACATATCTTAAACTTTAAGCGTATCATTTGCACGTGCTTGAACCTCATTGACGTTTTCATTTCCCATTCAAAATTCCCATATTATCTCGTGATTAGGAGACAGAAACATAAACAAAATGCTGTTGCTGATAGTCTTAAAGCTAAGAACTGATGTATGTACTCATAAGATGTCTCGACACTCACAACAACCAGAAAACAATCTGCAGACTGCACGCTAATAATTAAATAATTATGATAGTAAAATTGATTTTATGATGAAAGTAACAATCAAGAGCAACCATTGACGATATTGAGGAGTCAACGAACTGCGAACGTAATTATAACTTTCTAAAATGATATTTTACAAAATGCACGATGGAGTGCATACATCATTCGGATATCGCATGGCATTCCCCCTTTAGTAAAATTGTGTCTTATTTGTTTGTAAAAGTCAAATCATAACGAAAGTTCCAGAAACGCGGGTGGTTAGCAGAACAGAAGTTTGTGCGTTGCTGAATTGGCCAATGCGTAATGGGGAATGCGTCAGGCCGTGGAGCTGGTCTTTAAGGGGACATTAAACCGTCACTATGTCAAGATTTAACTGCATATGCAAATTAGGTTTTACTTAGTATTTTTCGCCTACGCTTGATCAAGAACTACGTATTATAAAGCTTAGCAACAAGGGCAGTTTTTAATTTTTGGGTGATATCAGAACGAAATAAAATGTTTAGTAACTATTGTCCTACTCCAGGTTCCGTACTATTATTCATAATTTATTGACGATGTTAAACACTTGCTGAAGGCGTCATCTTTGAATGCGATAAGGTTATCTGTCTTACGACATTTAACATACGTTAATTATAATATCAGTTGTATCATCCTGCTATTTTATACGATAACAATCGTATTGTAGTGCAATTAGGAATATTCTGTGAACCTCAGGCCAACGTCATTAACATCAATGTCGTCTAATTCTCATTGAAAATTAAAACTAAATGATAGGTCTTAGCATTAAAATCAAGAAAATTTATCACAAAATGAAGAAAGAGAAAAAGTAAATAAACCAATGCGTTTAGATAAACAAATTCAAGACTGTTTATGTAAACACACAGTAAACAATATTTTGGTATTAATTTTGCCGACATGTGGAAATGTCATTCATATCTTATTAGCTTATATATATGAAGTTGATAATATATTATAATATATATATATCATTACCTTACATATGTAAACCAAACATAGGTCCATCTTAATGGTTCATCGATAAAAATCATATAAGGTGTGTTTACCTGTACAGAGAACCACGAGCTTAAATTTTCACTTAAAAATAACTCACCTAATTTTCAGTCTATAATTGTTAAAGTTATATATAGATATGTTGAACATTTACTGTAGTTGGTAGTCATAGACATACATTTTGCGATTTGACCATAATAATTCTTTTATTGAACATTGCAGTTGTGAAATGATCATTTTGTTAAAATTTTCGTAGGACAATGAGGGAGATTCATGTGTAAGTTTCAAATAACAACTGAAGCAACTGATTTTCGTCCCAAAATTTTATGTTTTGATATATTTGTAATGAAAAAGTTGTTTGTCAGTGGCATATATTTTAAATATTTTTTACTTAGAAAACTGCTTATTTGTATTTTCTGAAACTCCGCAATATATTCTATAGTAAAAGAATCGTTGACCTTGAGCAAGAAATCCGCGCAAGCGCAGTGCGATTGGTCTTCAGGATCTGCATACCTGATTTATTTAGTAATTGTTGACGGTTTTTGCATCCATTATTACGATCTGTCGGCCTTTAGCGGACAAGTGCTGCATAATGAATACCTCGTTTGTTTTATCAGATTTCTGGATCATTACCTCGGAGACAGAGCACCATATACTGTAGTTATCTCCCCTGCATGGATGCTTACTGATTACAAGAGGGCGGGGCTGATTAATTTCCTCACCAACATCACAACACATCGAGTAAGTGATATGTGTTTCCCTTGATTCTCACCCTGAAATGTGTACTCAAGAAAAAATTTTCAATTGTCAACTGCGACAATATGTGTTTTGGCGATAGGGGTTTCAAATGATTAATGTAAATTTGACTTTTGTAAAACTGAAAGTATGTTTTTATGGCCACATCGAATGATTGATGATGTAATTTTTGAGTCAAGACACTTTTATAACGAACTGATTGGCCAAAATTTCCATACAAAACCATAATGCACTCACTGTGCTCGCTATCAAGATGTCTTAAAAGGGATCACATTAATAGTCTCAGTATGCATGGGTCTGTCTGTGAGGGTGTGTGTGTGTGTGTGTGTGTGTGTGTGTGTGTGTGTGTGTGTGTGTGTGTGTGTGAGAGAGAGAGAGAGAGAGGAGAGAGAGAGAGAGAGAGATGTGTGAGAGAGAGTGTGTGTGTGTGTGTGTGTGTGTGAGAGAGAGAGAGAGAGAGAGAGAGAGAGAGAGAGAGATGTGTGTGTGTGATAGTGTGTGTGTGAGTCTGTGTGTGTGGTTGTGTTTGTTTGTGTGTCTATGTGTGTGTGAGTCTGTGTTGGGGGTGTCTGTGTGTCTGTGTGAACGAGAGAGAGAGTGTTTGTGTGCGTGAATGTGTGGGTCTGTGTGTGTGTGAGTATGTGTGTGTGGTTGTGTCTGTGTCTATGTGTGTGTGTGTCTCTGTGTGTGTGTGTGGGGTGTCTGTGTGTGTGTGTGTGTGTGTGTGTGTGTGTGTGTGTGTGAGAGAGAGAGAGAGAGAGAGAGAGAGAGAGTGTGAGAGAGAGAGAGAGAGAGTGTGTGTGTGTGTGTGTGTGTGTGTGTGTGTGTGTGTGTGTGTGTGTCACATGTCATTACAATGTCTAGATTTGACGTCACACATGATTTATACAAATAATAAGGCAACCATATAATCAGTTGATATTGTACCTGTATGATAAATTTTATTTGTTAAAGAGTAACACTATAACGGTATAGAACTAATTCAGATCTGATATATAATATAAATTACTGTGACAAAAAAATTTAACCGATGTGTTTGACCTAATTCATTATAGTATACTGCTTTCCAAAGGAGGGACAAACCTTATAGTAAAGTAACATCTACCCTTATTCACCAAAAGTGCTTTCCCAACAGGATGTGTGGCTGGTATCCCAGATACAGGCAATACAATGGGTAAAACAGCCGACCTCGCTGGATCACATCCTGGAGTTCCCTCCCTGGACTTGTTGATCTCGATCTAAAGCCGACAGTGTTGGTATCTCGCGTGCTTGTAACTACGGATTCCAATCCCAGTGCCGGACAACTTATGACTTTTTAAACACATTTAATACGGTTGATTTTAGGGTTAATATATCGTGTTTGGGTAACGTCTTTTATGTGAAGAAAAATTTGCCTTAAACTTAACAGTGCATGTTAGAATGCTGTCAAGTTGAAATGAAGTTTCAATTTTTCAGAATGTTTCTGGGATATACATGCGACACTATCTTCTGGTCTTGATATCTAATGAGGTGCAGAAAGTATAATTTTTATCTTGCATAGAAACGAATTAATAAATGACAATTCCTTTTTAAATGCGGTCATATAATTTGATTAAATACTAGTGCATTTTCATCTTACAGGTCATATGAGGAAGATTTTCCAGATATAATCCAAACACAAGTTTTAAAGATATCAAAAAAACCTGTGTCGTATTTCTGATCTACGTGTAGATATCTTTATTGATAAATGTCGATTGTCAGTAAAAAAGCTTAATGTTGAGACACTGACAGAATTTTTACACTGCCTTAGTTAGAAAGTAAGGGAAGTAACTCTGGGAGATCAGAAATGCTCTTGAATATACAGGAAAGAATCGAATCTTAGTACGTTTTGATTTTTGTGATTGATAATAAAACTATTTTTTATTTCATGTTATTGATAATGAAAAATCAACTACAATTAAAGAGATATAAGACCGAAACATGATACTTACGAGGCAGCCTGTTGTAGTATTTTACCTCTAGATTTACAAGACCGAGACATGACGTTGCACCGAAAACTCGTACGGAAACCCTTGTAAAAATGCTTACCTTTTTTAATTTGATATACCTATTTATGAGCAGCAGAGAATTGTGCACAATTTCATTAAAATCTAGCAACAGATTTTCGATTACAATAAGTCAACTTTGTTTTCTTAGTTCGGAGATCAAAGTAACACTCCGGTATGTTTTTATCATAAGCTTAGATTCACGAGCTCATTGTTTGTTAAATGCTGTAAATGTATTTTGTTTTGGGAGAGGGCTTAAATAAATATCGTTGTTATATAAACTTTTATCACATCGACTAAACTGTAGATAAAATTGATCAGACACCATATTGTTTTTACTCTTGTAAACATCTTTGATTTGCGATTTGAGATGATATTACCCCAATTCCATTTTATTAAGATCAGTTTCTGGTATGGACATTCTTGGACTTCACACACAAGTACATCTTGACAGTTTGAATGTTGTTGTGGCCATTTGGAATTTTTTTTATGAAGATATGACTTTTATTGTTAGAAATTTCATCATTGCTGGTAGAGAAGATGATATGTGAATCTTAGTAGGGGTAAAGCCGGGTTAGTGAGCTATACAGAAAGAGCATTTTATGTTTCTGTACTTTAATATTATACGGACTGACTAGAAGTGACACGGAGTGTAGAGGAGTTTGGGGATGGAGTGCTTACTGTTAAATAAGGGGATTGCATATCATCTAGTAAGTTGGTTTTAGTATATTGTAATATTTTGATACAACTACGGATAAAATGCACAGTACACATATGATGCCGTAACAAAACGGTGTATATTCACAATCAGTTATTAACAGCACTAAACTTTAACATAAATCATTCATGAATTGTCATTCTACAAAACAACTTTGACAGTTTGTCCCCACACATTTGGTCCAGAACTTCTAAGTCACCGTGGCTATATATAGATTCGGATGAGGATTTCAGATCGGAGTGTTTGAGGTTGCCTGTCGATATGTGGTCATCCCGTGAGTGTCCAAAATACGTTAATGGTTTATCATTTTTCAGTTGCAGTAGTAAAGCGCTAATATCGATTTCGATTTTTATTCTTTCTTTTCCAGTTTTTTTTATTGGCAAATACGTTGATCTTTTCAGGTTGGGTTTAACTTGACGATCACGTGAGATTCATCAATGTCGTTTTCAGTGCTTTCAACGATCAAAGGGCAGTAACTCTTTGACATTTGTACTCACAGAATGAAACAAAGGATGGGGTGAAACTGTGTTCGCTGTACCTGGCCCCAGTCCCAAAACCCATACCGGGAAATTAAGAAATAATCAATATTATATTTCGATAACAAAACATCGGATAAATCTTGAATTTTCAAAATGAATCTACTTACATGTTTAAAAATCTGCCACTTTAAAAGGATTAAGATAGATATCTAGATTTGTTTTAATCAACGATTTTTTTTTCAGGTGGTGAAAATAATGGGGATTGGATACGCCTAAGGGAGTAGTTCTCCGATTTAGTATTTAGGGAGATAATACCCTGTTAAAATTTGCATAATAAATTCATTTTTAAAGCTATATCCCCAAATGCTATTTTATAAGCAATATTTAAAAGTGATATCAGTCGCCAGTTTTTAATGAAATATATAGGTTTGTTCCCTTTTGGAATGCAGGTAATAATACCCTGTTTGTGCATAATAAATTCATTATTATAGTATCCAAAGTTTAGAGATCTTATAACATTTTATTTTACCACAAGTACCCATCTGTTTCCAAAAAATGTTTTAATGCCTTTGATGCTGCTTAATCACAATGCTCATATAACAATTAAAGGGGCATAACTTGGCTAAAATTTACAACAAAATGCGGTAATGCAAACTCGTGTAAAGTTATTTTGGTAACGAATATTTGTGCAGGGTATACTACAGTACCTCCTTTTAATTCAAGAAAATTATTCCTAAACTTTTCTCTGTCAACACAGAATGTTATATTTTCAAAACATTGTAAAATATTTGACAAATTTTCAACGTTTGTGACTGTTAAGTCTTTTCATTATCCCACAACCATATTGTTACATTTTAATAATAAAAAAACTCATTTCACTTCAAATTATTTAAAATCTAGAATAAACTGCAAAAATATCTTATTTAATTGAATAAAGGAACAGCAACACACTATGAAATTGGTTTTCCAAATGAAACAATATAGAAATTGATTTATAAAAATAGTTTTGGTCTTGAAAGGACAAGGTCACACGGACCCGATACGTCAACTTTTTTTTTCGGGAAATACTTTTTGATTTAACTTTTGAGGTCTCAACAACCTTGATTTCTGGACAGTGTTTGGTTTATGTACTTTGGATCGAAATTATGCAAGATGGTTTTTATTGATGCGCGGAAAAGTGATTTAAAAAAAAAAGTGAAACAAACAATGGATTAAGACCTTATCGTGTGACAACTGTTAACGACACGCTTACGCGTATATGTACACATGTACAGGACTTGTATATATTCACATTGATAGCTTTTGAGCTATGGGTATGCCAGGGATGAGAAGCAGTAGCATTTTTGTTAAAACGACAGAGAAAAAATAGAGGAAATTACTGTGATGCTTTCCAATATCGTAACAAAAACTGAAATGGATTTATTCAACGGATCATCGATAAAGCTAAAAGATGACACTGGAAGTCTGAAAGGAGAACAGGGAAATGCTATACTCTTATGAAGGGAGAAATTTTTACCCGGAGAAAAAAATTAGGATGCAAAGATCACTATCAGTGACCAGCATCATCATCATCATCATCATCATCATCATCATCATCATCATCATCATTCTTTATTCATCAAAGCTGAGAGTACAAAAATTGAAAAAAAAAAGTTTAGAGTGAAATGGACATACTTACCTGAAGAACCTGAGCGCTAAGCGCACATTTCGATTAAGAATCACTTCATGGTGACCAGTTTTCTGGGCTCAAAATATGTTTCACGGTTCATGGAAATACATTTCGCTGTTTTATGCAATAGATACGCACAGTCATTTGTAAATTCCTCAGTAACAGAATCACTGTCAAATTCAAATTCTGAAATTTTCCCTTTGAATATTGTCTGGAGCAGGCTTTCTGATGAAAGGCTTGATATTATCAAATATGGCTGTACACCATAATAATCAACTAGTTTAGTGAAGAAGGTATCTCTCAAAATAAATGTGCTGGTACAGTCTGTAACAAAATGTCTTATGATGTCATGAAACGGTTTTGTACACAGCTTACATATATTGCGCTGTTCTACAGGTACACATGTTAACATTTTGCAAATAAATAGAACTGTTCTTTTGTCGATATCCGATGTTTTGAGCATGACATACGGCTCATTATAGGTAGAGTGGACAGATCTAAATCGAACGAAATCATCATCACTGTTCATTCTCTCGATCAATAAGCGATCTTCACGTATTTGAATAGCTCCTTTTACTAAAAGTTTCCATTGAGTCTTTGATGGGAATTCTGCACATTGGATATAACCCTGTATCCATTCTAATAATTCATATTTGGTTAATAATGCCAGAATATCAGGGATATACCCCATTTGCTTTGATATCGGTCCATCTGTATATCTGAGAAGTCTACGAATGAAAATTCTTTTTGGAATGCTGTTTGGTGCACAATCAACAATACAACGTAAAAAGTACAGTTTTCTTTTCTCGATTTCGCACCGAATCAAGTGAAGTCCAACTATACTTTCGCACATATCCGATCGAGTGGATGTCCTTTGATTAAGCATAAGTTTTACTGCATAATGCTGAAACGTCTCTAGCGTTCGGATATCGCATTTAGTTAAGTTATTCCATAATTCGCATCCGTATAACATCGACGGAAGTATAACTTTCTTGTAGATGCTAACAAGAGTAAGTGGTTTCGTGTAAGCACAGTCGGTTCCCATGCGCGTGATTGAGTGCAACACGTTACGGCCTTTCTTACAAGCGTTGTCAACGGGGTCGGCGTTTTTCAGGTCGGAAGAGAGAAGTACTCCTAAGTGTACCTCCTTAAGTAAGTATGTTGCATTTCGATGCATTAAACTGAAATTTCCATTTTACAGCATACCTTTGTGCGACGTGTAGCAGAGTTTGTAGGGCCCTAGGGCTAGTAGTAACAAGGGCAAGGTCATCAGCTAAGCATGGATTACCACATTCAATGGATTGGACTTTTACACCAACGTTAGTAGTCTCCATTTCAATGAGCATATCGTTAATATGTAGCAAGTATAGAACCGTGGAGATGATTACACCTTGCCTAACTGACCTCTGGAACCAACGAGATTGGGCACGATTATGAACTACCGCCTGGATTTGTCCTGATATGCGTTGCGCAATATTCTGTATAAGTTTCCAGTGACTCCAATCTTGTAAAGTTTGTTGAACATACTGTTGTGTTGAACCGTGATAAAGGCCTTATAGTTATCTAAGAATGCCACATAGACTTTGCTATTCTGTTCTATGTTTTCACATATACATTCACGAAGACTGAGTGATGTAGTTATACAGCTTAAACCTTTCTGAAAACCTTGTTGTTGATGAGAAGGAAATTTCACGTGGGAGTCATGAAGCCAGCGCGATACGCGTTTACAAATCACTCTTTCCATGAGTTTGTAGAGTACCGGTAGTAAGGATATCGGTCTATAGTTGTTCGGATCATTCTTTTTCTTAAAGCCTCCTTTATGAATTGGAATAATGATTCCTCGTTTCCACGTTTTTGAAATACATCCTGTGGTTCGGATGGAGTTCATTAGTTTTTGGATAACTTCGATGAGGGCTTTACCTCCAAAGCGAACGTGTTCGTTTGATATCATATCCGCTCCAGGAGCTTTTCCAAGTTTCATCTGCCCTATGGCTGATACGATTTCTTCAAAAGTGAACCTGCTATCAAGATCTTCTTTTCTTACTAATTGCAAATTACAGTCATCAATAATCGTGTTATCTGCATATAACTTTTCGTAAAAATCCGCGAACCTTTCGACTATGCTTTGGGGGTCACGAGCGAGTGTTGCCTCGAAGACTAGTTCCGTGCAGGCATCGGATGTTTTGTTTTTGCGCTTCCGCACAATTCTCTAGAATAATCTAGCATCCACATCCGCTGCCTCGTCTAACTCACTATTAACTTGATCCAAATATCTATCGTGGGTTTCTCTATACAGGTTCCGAAAGACGTTCTTTGCGTTTTTATAGTTCTTATATGAATTACATTGTAGCCCACGGGGTCTGTTTTCATAGATCCACACTTGTCGGTACATTAGAGCTGTATTATGAGCACTTTCTAGCTCGCTGAAATCAAACGATCTCGATATCGGCGCTGTCTGTGATAATACTATAGGATATGTTGCTTAGTGTAGTTTCATCAACAAGAATATAATCTAAAGTAGTTTCTTAAGGTCTAAATGTATACTTCGGCCCTTTGCAAATTGGCAGTGTATTTACCATACACAAGTTCAACTCGTTTATAAGGTCGTTTGACGCACTGGCTTTCTGCTTCGCCGCGTAATACTGGGGATCTTCTAATATACGTGCGTTAAAATCACCGGCTATTACAACTTTTCCTCTTAGTGAGTAGAAGGTAAGTATGTCACATAGATACTGCATAGTGTCTTTATACTCTTTAACGTCATTGTCACTGTGCATGTAAACTTCAAAAATGTAAACGGATTGTTCGGAAACCGTTGTCATTTTGATGGCAGCGATACGATTGTTAGCTATTTCTTCTAAGGAGCGAATGCTATACCGTAACGACTTTTTCACCAAGAACGAGACACCAGTACAATCACTAGAACATTCGACAGTATTTGCGTTGATTGCGTAATAATCAGAGTTTATCGTGTCAAAGAAAGTTAGTGATTTATGACTCAGTTTATGTTCGGTTATAACGGCGATGTCACAGTTCGATTGCTTTAATAGCGCAAACAAACCTTTTACTGATGAGAACGCTCCTCGAACATTCCATGTGAGTATGGAGAAGGCCATTAAGTAAAAAAAATAACACAGTTCGTAAGGCGGTCGTTGCAACGCCAGTGATTTTCAGAATCGCGGTCGTAATTGCTGTAATAGTCTTTATTGTCATAACGCCATCCGTAATCGTCTGTGTTCGGGTTTGTACTGAAGTCATTACGTGATTTCCAAGACGAATCGCGATCGGAATTTTTATGCTCGTCCAGCTTATCTTGCCATTCTTTGCTGCTGAGCCAAGGTCTGCAAGAAACACTATTGGGCCAGAAACCCAGACTGTAAGCATGAGCTGCGGAAACATTAACTTTTGCCGTAAAGGAACCGTTACGCTGTTCGAACATTCTGAAGTCAGTAACTTTTACTCCTTTGTTTTGAATGAATTTGAGAATACGATTTTTGGTACTCTCGGATCCGATTCCACTTAAATAGTAACGCGCTGTTTGTTTACGGTGAACGCCAATAAACATTGTCCTCTTTGGCGCCTTGACTTGATTTCACTGTTGATACATTGTTTCTAGTGGTATTTGTTGACTTTGTCGCAACTGTTCGATTGGTGTCTACAAGTGGCCTATCGTTACTAGATGACCTAAGTTTACTATTCGACGGTGATGTCGTGGGTTTTTTTTTTTTTTTTTGGGGGGGGGGGGGTCAATACGCAAGGAACATGCAGTAGTGGAAGTTAAATTCAAAGAAAAATTTAAAGAAAGTATATGGGTAAAGGTAAAGCTCACGGAATCGGATTATCTTTTAGTTGGATGCGTATACCGGAGTCCAACTAGCGATAAAGACAACGCGGGATTACTTCTAGATCTTCTAAATAGCGCAACCACGAAAAACAAAGGTTACTCACATATCATGATAATGGGAGACTTTAACTTTCCAAAAATAAATTGGCAGTTTTGGAATACGACATCAGATCAAGAGAGTGAAGATTTTAAAGAAAACTTAAGAGACAACTATTTATTTCAACATGTAGTCAATGATACAAGAAGGAGAATCGGGAGTGAACCTAGTACTCTAGATCTAATTATAACTAATGAAGAAGAAATGGTCAAGGATATTAAATATAACAGTCCCCTGGGTCACAGTGATCATGCGGTACTCGAATACAGCTTTGCTTGCTATGGAAACAGCATACGGTTTACTACACCTATTAAACAGCCCAATTATAAAAAGGCAGACTTTCCGAGTATGATGAAGGATATGAAAATCAATTGGCAAAACGTACTTAACGGAGATCCTAATGACATGTATGAATAATTCCTGGACATTATATCTGCGAGCGTATCAAAACACGTTCCAATCTCAAGTCGTGGCAAGGCAAGTACAAGCTATCCACTTGAAAAGTCTGTTGTTGAGAAGATAAAGAAAAAACATAGACTGTAGCAAAGATACATGGAAACAAAAGATGAAAATAAGTACAGAAATTATACCAAATGCCGTAACCAAGTGAAAAACGAGTTGAGAAAAGCAAGGGAAATTATGGAGAGGGACATTTCCAGTGATGCTAAACAAAACCCTAAACTATTTTGGAAATATGTGATTTCAAAGCGAAAGGTAAAAGTACGTGTTTCTGATTTTATTTCTAAGACGGATAATTCCCAATCGATCACCGCAATTACAGATCAGGATAAAGCGGATGTCCTGGCAGGCCTTTTCAGCAGCGTATTTACAGAAGAACCGGTCGGAGAAGTACCTATACTCGAACCAAGGCGTCTCAATAAGGAATTTCAAGACAGTGTTATAGAAGAAGAAAGAGTAAAAAAGGAATTGTTAAAGTTAGATCCAAGTAAATCGCAGGGACCCAAAAAAATACACCCCAAACTTATAAACCGTTGACAACTATTTTCAATGCATCCCTTCACCAAGGGACCGTTCCTCATCCGTGGAAAAACTGCAAATATAACGGCCATATTTAACAGGGCGATCACTCAGAACCTGCAAACTATAGACCAATCAGTCTAACAAGTGTTGTCTGTAAAATAATGGAAAGATTAATTCGAAGCAAGATGATACTACATATGGAGGAAAACAAATTATTAAGTGATCAACAATTTGGATTTTTGTCTGGGAGGTCAACAGTGCTACAACTACTGAAAGTCATGGATGAATGGACTACAATTTTAGATAATGGCGGAGAATTGGATATAGTGTACATGGACATGGATACAGTTCCACATAAACGCCTTCTAAACAAACTCCGAGGTTATGGTTTTAGCACTCAGTAAACGGTTTGTAAACGGTACACCATTAGCACAGCACAAAGTTATTAGCGGAATACCCCAAGGGAGCGTACTAGGTCCGATACTTTTCGTCATATATATTAACGATTTATTTAGACGAAAATATGTTCAGGAATTTGTTTAAAGCTCTAGTACGACCGCACCTAGAGTACGCGGCAAGTGTTTGGTCCCCACACAGAATTACGGACATCGAACGGATAGAAAACGTCCAGAGGAGATCGACAAAACTACTACCGGGATTTAAAACTTTAAGCTACAATGAGAGGCTACGTCGTTTGAATCTCCCAACCTTGATATACAGGCATCTACGTGGAGATATGATAAACATTTTAAGTTCATGAATGGGATATTTGATCCAAAGCTGGTGGAGGGAATGTTCGACCCTGCAGCACAAGGAAAAAACTCGTGGACATAGTAAAAAATTATTTAAAAAACATTGTCATTTGAATGTCAGAAAACATATTTTACTCAAAGAATAATTGATACTTGGAATAGTCTCCCTCAATGGGTAATTTCATCACTTAACGTTCATGATTTTGAAAAACACCTAGACGATTTTTGGAGTGTCTTATATCTAGTCTAATATTATGTTTATATTAATAATATATTGTATTGATGTGAATACAGAGGCAGAAATGCCTGCGTTCACTATTATCCTATTAAATCCTATTACTAATACTTCCATGTCAACATGATCTGTACTGGCTTCCGTAGAGTCACTCACGTGTCCTTGTTTACTGGTGACAGGTAAGGTAGTATCGCTCACACATTCGCCAGGTAAGACGGTCCCGTAAGGAATTTGAGCCAGTGGTACACTGGGGTTACTTGCAGGAGTTTTACCTTCACTGTCGTCCCGCAAAACTTCCGAATACGACTTTGAGCATGTGCCAGTTTTACTGGTGAGACATGCTAATGCATTTCATAGTTCTCTGATAGTGTCAGCAAGATGTTTATTGTCTTTTTCATTTCCTCCATTAATTTCAGCATTCGGCACTCTCTCACTTGACTGTCTTTCAGTGCATTTTCTACTGTTTAAAGACGTTCACAGACGGAATGAATTATGCTGTTGTTTTCAATTTCAGTACCAACATCTTTCATATGGTGACGTAATATCCCGTGTGACAGCTCTGAGTGAGTACTTTCACTAAGATGTGAACCAGAAAGTTGGCAACCTGGAAATGTCCCATCGAGAGCCCCCACACCAGTTGCTCTGCCTTTACTGAATACAGAGTCTATCTCGGAATTATCACCAGAAACAAAGGCTTGGATAACATAGCAGTCTTTAGCATACTTTATATAACTCGGGCTTGCAGACGAAGGTTTTTCTGACAACAGGTTTTCTTTAGGACATTCTGAAATGTTCATCGCTCGACCAAGTAAAATGTTCCTATGCCAAATCACAGTCCCCTCTGATCGCTCAAATATCTCAGTAATTTTCTTCACATATTCATCTCTTGAGAGATTGATAACTTTACTGGCTATATAATCGATTAGCTCTTGATTGTGTGACCGGTTATGGTTTGCTGACTAGCGTGATACAGGGGAATGGGCCTGTGGGGCACAATGAACCAAATCGACATGGACTGCTTGGGTGGGGGATACATCGGGTCAGAGTCATCCGTGGCATTTTGAACACTTACACTCTCTTTTATGAATGTTTCTTCACTAATTCCTTCGAAATCATGATGAAAATTACTATCATCATCTTGCATCATTGCTGGTCTCAGATCAGAATAGAAACCCTGGCTACTAGTTCACACATTGCTAGTTTCTTTTCGGAGGCGATGTTCCGCGTCACCTTCTACGGTGGCCATTTTTTCCCTTTTCTTTATTTTCTTATTCATTTAAATTAACAGAAATCCGTCTTATAATTCTTGTATAGTTTTTTTTTTTCAGAATGTGCAATATTTTTCCTCATAATTTCCATTAAAAGAACTTCTAAATGCTGGTCACTGATAGTGATCTTTGCATCCTTGGTTTTTTCTCCAGGTAAAAAATTCTCCCTTCATAAGAGTATAGCATTTCCCTGTTCTCCTTTCAGACTTCCAGTGTCATCTTTTAGCTTTATCGATGATCCGTTGAATAAATCCATTTCAGTTTTTGTTACGATATTGGAAAGCATCACAGTAATTTCCTCTATTTTTTCTCTGTCGTTTTAACAAAAGTGCTACTGCTTCTCATCCCTGGTATACCCTTAGCTCAAAAGCTATCAATGTGAATATATACAAGTCCTGTACATGTGTACATATACGCGTAAGCGTGTCGTTAACAGTTGTCACACGATAAGGTCTTAATCCATTGTTTGTTTCACTTTTTTTTTAAAATCACTTTTCCGCGCATCAATAAAAACCATCTTGCATAATTTCGATCCAAAGTACATAAACCAAACACTGTCCAGAAATCAAGGTTGTTGAGACCTCAAAAGTTAAATAAAATAGTATTTCCCGAAAAAAATTTTGACATATCAGGTCCGTGTGACCTTGTCCTTTCGAGACCAAAAATAGTTTTATAAATCGATTTCTGTATTGTTTTATTTGGAAAACCAATTTCATAGTGTGTTGCTGTTCCTTTATTCAATTAAATAAGATATTTTTGCAGTTTATTCTAGATTTTAAACATTTTGAAGTGAAATGGGTTTTTTTTTTATCAAAATGTAACAATTTGGTTGTGGGATAATGAAAAGACTTAACAGTCACAAACGTTGAAAATTTGTCAGTCAAATATTTTACAATGTTTTGAAAATATAGCATTCCGTGTTGACAAAGAAACGTTTAGGAATATTTTTTCTGACTTGAAAGGAGGTACTGTAGTATACCCTGCACAAATATTCCATACCAAAATAACTTTACACGAGTTTGCATTACCGCATTTTGTTGAAGTTTTTAGCCGAGTTATGTCCCCTTAAATATTATATGGGCATTGTGATAAAACGGCAAGACATGGAGTTGTCAATGTTTTCCTAAACAGCATCAAAAGAATTAATGTTTTTTTTTGGAAACAGATGGGTCCTTGTAGTAAAATAAAATGTTATAAGATCTCTTAACTTTGGATACTATAAAAATGAATTTATTATGCAAAAACAGGGTATTATTACCTGCATTCCAAAAGGGAACAAACCTATATATTTCATTAAACACTGGCGACTGATATCAATTTTAAATATTGCTTATAAAATAGCATCTGGGGTTATAGCAGGTAGGTTAAAAACTGTCTTGGGGAAATTCATGAATTACGATTAATCAGGAATTTTAGAAGGGCGCTATCTTTCTTTCGCCCCCTCCCCCCCTCTATCTCTCTCTCTCTCTCTCTCACTCTCTCCCTCCACACCCCCCCCCCCCCTCTCTCTCTCTAAAAAGTGCTTAATCAACTTTATGTATGTCTTTTCTCGAATAGAGGGACATCAACCAGTGCATTTTAAATACGCCAACCTTGCTATAAAGTACAGGTATATAAAACTTTAAAATTGAGAACAAAGAGGTGGAATATGAACCGAAAAATGCACAGACATTATTGGAAGAAAGGGGAACATTGTGAATAAAACCACGTGTTTCAGTGCATTTTAAATACGTCAACCTTGCTATAGAATACAGGTATGTAAAATTTAAAAATTGAGAACAAAGCGTGAAATATGAACCGAAAAATGCTCAGACAATATTGAAAGAAAGGGGGACATTGTAAATAAAACCACGTGTTTCGGCTGAGTCTTTACATTACATTTACATCTCAAAAATTCTCCCTTCATAAGAGTATAGCATTTCCCTGTTCTCCTTTCAGACTTCCAGTGTCATCTTTTAGCTTTATCGATGATCCGTTGAATAAATCCATTTCAGTTTTTGTTACGATATTGGAAAGCATCACAGTAATTTCCTCTATTTTTTCTCTGTCGTTTTAACAAAAGTGCTACTGCTTCTCATCCCTGGTATACCCTTAGCTCAAAAGCTATCAATGTGAATATAAACAAGTCCTGTACATGTGTACATATACGCGTAAGCGTGTCGTTAACAGTTGTCACACGATAAGGTCTTAATCCATTGTTTGTTTCACATTTTTTAATCACTTTTCCGCGCATCAATAAAAAAACTCTTGCATAATTTCGATCCAAAGTACATAAACCAAACACTGTCCAGAAATCAAGGTTGTTGAGACCTCAAAAGTTAAAAAAAACGTATTTCCCGAAGAAAAATAAAGTTGACATATCGGGTCCGTGTGACCTTGTCCTTTCAAGACCAAAAATATTGTTATAAATCGATTTCTATATTGTTTCATTTGGAAAATCAATTTCATAGTGTGTTGCTGTTTATTTATTCAAATAGAAAAGATATTTTTGCAGTTTATTCTAGATTTTAAACATTTTGAAGTGAAATGGGTTTTTTTTTATCAAAATGTAACAATTTGGTTGTGGGATAATGAAAAGACTTAACAGTCACAAACGTTGAAAATTTGTCAGTCAAATATTTTACAATGTTTTGAAAATATAGCATTCCGTGTTGACAAAGAAACGTTTAGGAATATTTTTTCTGACTTGAAAGGAGGTACTGTAGTATAC